TGAGCTTTAGACATGTCATATTTCTAGCACTGAGGTAACATATGTAGTCATAAAAAAATATTATCAACACCTAAGAACACAAATTAGTGTATATAACTGCTCCTTGGCAGACTTCCACTTCATATTGTATCCTGATGATGGCAATTTGCCGAAACGTTGAAAATGATTATGTGAAATGAAATGAGTTGTGAATTTGCAGTGCCCAGGGAATGAGCATGTGTGCTCACCAATTCTCTTCGAGTTATGAAGCTGCAGGATGCCTCACCGCTACTTCGTTATCACACACTATAACCGGTATATCACTACAGGCGATTTTCAACTGCGCGCGTCATACATACACATTATACACGTGTGGGTACTCGATCGCGCTAATGACTAATGTAGCGTACTGATACGTACGTGATGGATGCTACCAAGAGTACATAACTAACTTACTTCTGTGTTGTACACACATGTACATAACCATGATAACTACATTATCCATATAAAAATCGCTCTGTGAGCGGTTCTGAAAAACCTTTACTGGTACTGCCCCGTCGTAAAAGTAAGAAATTAGAACTGGCCCATTGTCCCCCCAAACGCGAACTGATCCACCTAAATCGAGAATGACGGGACCCGAACGCACCAGTAGCACGAGGTCGGGAGGGCACAGGATCACGGCAATTATCATAGGGTAACACCAGTAGTAGTAGTAGTAGAATTTATTATTTTGATAGGGAAGCCTACCGCTAGTACAGTACATGGCCTATGGTCCGGACCAACGTCCCCATCTGCATCCACAGGTAGGAACCTCGTGCTACTGGTGCGTTCGGGTCCCGTCATTCTCGATTTAGGTGGATCAGTTCGCGTTTGGGGGGACAATGGGCCAGTTCTAATTTCTTACTTTTACGACGGGGCAGTACCAGTAAAGGTTTTTCAGAACCGCTCACAGAGCGATTTTTATATGGATAATTTCAGCTCTTTTTCCGTTCCCTCCCCACCCCAACCCCGAAGGTAAACATGATGACCACGCGCGCGATGTACTGTACGTAGCCATGCGACTGCAATAACACACTGATACATACCAGCCCTCCCCGCCTCGCTACCCCGCACACAGATACACAAACATGTGTATGCACACACACGTGGCCACGCACACATACGCACATGCACACGGCACAAACAGGAAATTCTTCATGTATAATGCCATGCAAAGCAGTGGCCACCGTACTTGAGGAAGTCAGTTGTGAAACAAAAATAATTCAACTACAGCGTGTAGACAAGCTGACGGCCAAAGCACAACATAGCAAACATGACATTTGCCCAAGGATTGCAGTTTGCAGACCATGCCATGGAAGCAGCGAATACAGAATGTAATATCATACAAAGTGACAAGCAAGGACGTGGCCATCATACACCAGAAACTTGCAGAAAGTCACATATCCAACAGATAGAGAAGTGAACAGCAATCTGATACAGCCCACACAGGACAAAGCGGACCTGATACTCGTCCCAGGATCGCAAGTGGCAAACCCTTTTCAATGCATAACATGCAGGTGTACGTTAGACGCATGAACATCTGACCGTGTCGCCAGCATACAATGTCATCACATGTTTACCCCACAAGTTACACACATGCACAGTAGAAGCACAATGAAAGCAATGGAAAAGTACGATGTGGTTGCTGAAGCATCTTCACACTTCAAATTCAGACTTCAATGTGGTCGTCACGGGATGATATACCTGCAAGATACAAGTGATGACTCGAAGAAAGAAAGCAGAAGGTCGTGAGGTAGGCTATGAGACACCACAAACGGTTCACCTACATGTCTGTTCAGGGCTAGTGCACTCACACGGAGAATTGTCATAATCGAGCATTTCCCAAACTGAGAAGTGCAATGAAATCCACTTGCATGCACAGGAGCAATTTTGCAATAATATTATTATGATGCGCAATTCGACACGATCTGCGATGCTGCGTGCGATGTGCCCTGCTGTCATGATAGTGACAGTCACCGCGGTATGTTTTGTCAACGTCGCCCGTGCACTCTTCTGTCAAGTCCAAAGTGCTCACATACTTGGCAATGTTTTTGCAGTGATTAACTTTTATCCTAGTTATGTCACGGGTAACTTTAATGAAGTACCCGCAGGCCGTGTCGATCTGCACATCTTCCACTCTCTCATGTACTTGGCCTGCTTTGTCTGTGTATCCATTTCATGTGCGATCCACATAATCGACTAGACAGTGGGTGCAATACGCTCTCTACCTGAAGACGTTCTTCTGGCGACATCTCGCCATGTACTTGGCCTGGCTTTGTCTGTGTATCCATTTCATGTTCGATCAACAAAATCTCAAAGCACTACAGAGACTAGACAGTGGGTGCAATACGCTCTCTATCTGAAGACGTGAACCATTACATTTTTTGGAAAAGTTATACGTACACCTGAAACGTAATGAAGTACAGGAATAGAGAGAGTGACTACAATACGCTCTCGACCTGATATAGTGATAACGTGAGTACAAGACACTCTCCACCTGATAACGTGTTAGAAGGTAACATGTCTACAGTCCCACCGTACCCTTCCGACACGACTGTGGACCATTACATTTTTTTGAGAAGTTATACGTACACCTTAAACGTAATGAAGTACAGGAATAGAGAGAGTGACTACAATACGCTCTCGACCTGATAACGTGAGTACAAGACACTCTCCAACTGATAACGTGTTTAATAATAGTAGAAGGTAACAGGTCTACAGTCCCACCGTACCCTTCATCATTCCTCATTCACCATCGCGCGATACCCTGGCACACACTGGCAACATATCAATGGGGTGCCTTACCGTCGTCTAGAGGAGACGTCTTCGCAGCAATATTTTCCCTCCTGCGCATTCAGTCGCCGACGCGACAGCGTTCACGGGGCCGTTCCAGTTGCGGAAGACATTCGATTCATCGGGCCAATTCAGAAACAGGGCCGTGGACACACAGGGGGCAGAGGAGAGACATTGTTAGTGGACAAGAAATATGCAGTGGCAAGTGGCGAGTGCCGCATGGGTGTCAAGTTGTCATGCACAATTCAGCTATTACTTACGGTCCAGCTAGTCCTGCCATTGCTCGCTCGTCCTGGTTCCTCCTCGTTCGTCTTCCTGCACGTCTGCACTTCTCCTTCCCCACCGTTGGCTTTGCGGTACGGGGGTGCCGGAAGGAATTCCCACCATGTATCCATGTACATGAAGTCCCACCATGACTCTCCATGTACATGTCCACGGCCACGTCAGCAGTTTGTATAGTACCGGAAGGAGTTCCCACGATGTCTCCAAAGGCCTAGAGCGGACGTCTTTGCAGCAATTCTTTTCGCCCTGCGCATTATGGCAGTTCGCCGACGATGTCTCCAAAGGCAAAGGCCTAGAGCCTAGTAGAGGGGACGTCTTTGCAGCAATTCTTTTCACCCTATGGCCTAGTACCCTGCACATTCACTCCGATCCGCCGACACGACAGCGTTTACGGGGCCGTTCCAGGTGCAAAAGGTCCACGTCAGCAGTTCTCAACTATTTCGCGTACGGGATAGTCGCCGCGACAGCGTTTAAGGGGTCGTTCCAGGTGCAAAAGGTATCCATCAATGGCACTTTGCAGTATGGGGTACGGAAAAGGGGCCTCCTCGTTCGACCTCGTCGACTTCTGCAGTTCTCCTTCCCGTCAGGGGTACCGAAAGGGGCCTCCTCGCAGTTGTCCTTGCCGTCAGGTCCACGTCATGCAGTTCTCAACTATTTCGCGTAGACCTACGGGATAGTCGTCTTTGTCGTACGCGACATCGGCGTTTACCGAGTGGCATTGGCACCAAGCAGACCGTTGACGGGGTCACGTGTCAAAAAAGTATCAACAGTTACGTGTCGACTACGTGTCGACCACGTGTATAGCGGTACACTCAGCGGTACACTAATTCTCGTGCCATTCTCGTGTCACAAAACTGGAACATCGAGTACCAGTATGGAAAGGCTTCAGACAGGAAGCCTTTCCAATAACTACATAACTACTTATGTACTCTTGATGCTACTGCACCTTCTCCAGTCTACTGAGAGTTTTTGTAACTAATTACTTCTTGGCCCAAAAAAGGCATCATCCAGGAAGCGCCAGACCAGAATACCCTATGACAACACACATGTGGCTCCAAGTCGAGACATCAATGCCTCACACTCGTGCGTTGCTATCACTATAGACGATAATTTTTCTGCACAAAGAGGTGTTTTGAATGGTGATTCTGTATCCTTATACAGTACTTCTTATAGCCGATTTATCGCTATATACGATATATTGGTTATAATGATAATTTGACTGGCTTTTTCTGGTTTTGCTTTTGATATTTTCATTTTGTATCAATATAGCCGGTTTATCACTATGTCCGATGACTTTATAACCGATATCCACTGTACTCGTACTACTAGTACTTAGTAGTCAATAGTATCAGATCGTGGCCGTGGGTTGATTACAGTCATGAAGATTTGCAACCAATATTGAGAAAATACTGATAACGAGCGAGACGAACTCAGAGTCAGATAATAAAAAGCAAGAAACTAATCAGTAATCGGCAACCACTTCATCATGCACTGAGATTTTGCTGCATGCCATGCCAGTGGCACTGGCATGGGCCCACTGTCACTATCAGGGAGTCGTAAAATACCCGGTGGTATTTTACGACTCCCTGGTGCCGCCGCATGTTTTTTATTTGTGTGTATAAATCCATTTTTAGGAGACCCCCTCGCAACGCGCGTGCACTGTATGTGTACCGCGGTAGGTCCGGTACGTACAGTGTACCTGTACTGTCCTGTACACGCGTGACATGATGTGTCACGTTTCTGGTTTGTGTACGCATGTCCATATACGGTGTGAACCTCACGTCATAACACGCGTAGGGGACGCTTTGTAAGTGCCTCAAGTGGCCTCGTATTGTTGGAAGTGTACCGAAGTGTGGTTGCAGCTCCGAGCTCCCAAGAAAAGAAGTAGAGGTCACCACCGAGGAAACAAATCAGAAAGGAATAGTGAAGCGTTGCAGAGGGTTTGTTTTATAAACTGCCTTCCTTGGAGATCTAGAAAAGAAGACACGGCAAATCTGGGGTAACGTTCTAACGGAACCATGAAGGCCTGCGTTGTCGTGCTTTTGGCCGTCGCCGCCGTTGCGATTGGCAAGCCCACTCCTGACTTGAAGGGACAGTTGGCCAAATTGGTCTCGCAGCAAGCGAAATGGTCCAAGATTCTTGGAGGTTCAGCTGGCTACATCATGCAAACTACTATTGGCAACCACTTCTTGCCAAAAGACGAGTCTTCATCTCAACAGTTGTGCTCACTGCCCAGCAAGATTGTTGATGCAACCTCAGCCGAAATTTCCCAGAAGAAAGCGAAGCAACTTCTCGGCGAAGACAAAGCATCTCTGCCACCTCAATTCCAGGGTAAGAGAAAGCACCTTCTTGGCGAAGACAGAGCATCTCTGCCACCTCAATTCCAGGAACCGAGAAAGCCGCATCTGTTGGGAGAGGACAAGGCTTCTCGTCCACTATCGGCCAGAGCTCCCAAGAGAAAGCATCTTCTTGGCGAAGACAGAGCATCTCTGCCACCGCAATTCCAGGGACCAAGGAAGCAGCATTTGCTCGGACAGGATGAGGCTTCTCGTCCACGACCACTTTCTGGACGCAAACAGAGGAATCGTCGCTCATTGAATCCTGCTGAGGTCTTCGGCGCTGACCAGGCCTCTTTGCCACCAATGGCCATCGGAATGAGTCTGCCCAACAGCATGTCCGACATCTTCGCTCTTCTCCGCCGGGTTCTGACCAAAGGACTGTGCTCGTTGAAGGTCGTGTACCACAAGAAGCTCGGCCACCCAACACACGTCACTATGACCGGCTGCAAGTTTTTGCCACGATCAATGAAGGCAATTTCCATCCCCAAGGTACGTACAATAACGATAGTAGAGAGGTTCCGGGGTACGATTTTCCGTGCCAAAATCCGTATGGGCGCTACGGATTTTTTCCAGGCGTGCTCCATACGATTTTTCGGCACGGAGAATCCGTGTGGACTGGCTTTCATACGAACCATGTTTCGTATGGAGATTTTGCGTCATCGGGTGCAGAAAGATGTTTTGCGTACAAATTTGGTACGAGAAACATCGATTTTTCGCGGGAAGTTTTGATTTCGGCACAAATTTTCAAAAGAAAAAGGCTAGCGCGGGAATGTGACGTGCTTGCGATCGTAACCTAGGCAATGACGGCAAACACATAAGTTCCGTACCCCGGAACTTTTCACTGCTCGAAAATGACGTATAAAAATCCGTAGAGCCTGCACGGATTTTGGCACGAAAAATCGTACTCCGGAACCTCCCTAATACCAAGAGTAGGTCTACATATTAAAACCAGAGTGTGCAACTGTGCATACCGGTATCAGATCTGAAACAGCGCAGTTCGTGCACTACGTCACCCTGATGAGGTCAGCCAAGCCGCGACTTGTGTACAGCTCAAATTTTCGTGTTTCATAGCCCGGAAATCAGCCAAGTTTGCTTGATTTTAGACGTCCTGTTTCAGGATTTCGTTGTTTTTGTGTGACTGTGTACGCTGCGTACATCCACCGACAAGTAAATTCACCAGGCTATCCGTATCAAAAACCCAAATTAGGACAAACTCGGTGACCTGCACCACCGTGACTGATTACGCAACTTTTCACCGTACCTGTGGCTTACCATGCCGTCAGAAATGACGTACTGCACGAATTACGCTACCACAGGAACCATCCCGAGTTGCACACTCTGTTTTTTTTTGCCCCGTTTATGTCCTCTTGATAGTACTCTATGCACTCTTGCCAGTGCTATATTTTTTACAGCAGTGCACTCTGAAACCCCTATTGCCAGGATTTTCATAGTGCACTGTACATGTACATGTATATGGGGCATTGGAGTTTGGGGAAATTGGTTTTTCTACACTCATAAATCCAGGAATCACACCTCTTTTGGCAAGTTTCGGTGCTCATAGATCAAGAAATATTTTAGCTGATTGAACACGGGGCCTCTGGATTAGTGTGGCACCTGACTTGTCTGGCTTGTGTTTGTCCGCACGTCAACCGTTTCAATTCGAGCAAAAAAAATCTTTCTAAAAGCTCCCCATTGAGATTTTAAAACTCCAGAGGTGTTTTGCACGATCTTGTTTGATGTTGGGCTCGGGTTTTGGGTCTCTGACAAAAGATGGTTTGGAATGATATCATGCAGTCTTTGGCATGGAAGTGTAAAGGAAAGAGGCCTACATTGTATGTCGTGCTCTCAATGACAAGAGTCGTCAGTGTCCCTCACAAAACACGTGCTGTAGCGTGCAAAGCCAATGGTTTTTTCACACCAATAGTTCTTTAATTAAAAGACAGAGCGTGCAACTCCCAGAGAAAGATCTCATGGCAAAGTTTTTGTTGTGCTGTTTAGGTCACTAACGTGATTCACTCACCTTTTCTGCATTGCTGGGTGTAGTAGAGTAGGTACAAGAATGAACGCCCAGTTCCCAACCACACCCTTGGGGGGGGGGGGGGATTTTCCAGTGAACCTACGATATGATGAGACACCCAATGATTCATGGTGACCTAAGCAGTGTGCACGGAATAAAACTTTGCTGTGGTAGTGATTTTGTGGAGCATAGATAATAATAATAATAATAAATTTATTAGGATGACCCAAGATGCAGAGCTGCACGCTCTGGTTGGTGTAGTCTAGCTAGCATGCTACTTCTGTCATTTAAATACTATAGTCCTGCTTGTTTCTCGGCTGAGTGCGATTACAGAGCCAAGTGCTTGTATGTACTGTGATATCCATGTATACAGCATCCCCCCTGTGCTTAGAGGATGACAGGGAGCACAATGTCCCAGTGTCTGCTCTAGGATTGTAGGACAGCCGGGTGCACGTGTACCTGGCGCAACCATTTCAACCGGGTCGGAGCCGGGTACACATGTACCTGGCGCTGTCTCACCAGCCGAGTCACATGCTTTAACTGGTTGGTTGGTTTATTTTAATTCGGACAATAAACGGGAACTAGGCCCAATGATATAAAGGCGAATGGATAAGCCGCATTTAGAAAAGAGAGGACAAGAATTAGGAAATTACGAAAGAAGAAGTATCTGACACATACAAGCAAGAGTCCATAAACAAGAGTATGCAACTGTGATCTCTTTTCTATGGGCCAGATGCGCGGCGCGCTGCCTTCATTACATCATTCAGCTGCAGTCCGCGCACTGCGGAAAATCAAACACCGCACTTTCCCTCTGGTTTGAAATGAACTTTCGTACGGAACTGGAGTTCTCGCGCCAGAATTCAGAGATCGAGTAGGTACTGGAACGAATCGAGCAAAAACGGATGGGCTCGTACGAGAAATTGTGAGTTTGAATGCATGCTTTCAGAGCGTGATGAAGGCAAGTTACGTAATGAAGGCAGCGCGCCGCGTACTGGGCTATAACCACAGTTGCATACTCTTGTTTATGCACTCTTGATACAAGCCATGTAGTCAGTCCTTTCAAAGTTTGAAAGTGTAAAAGTACCAACCGGGTCGCAGGTGATCCGGTACTATATTTTCAACCGGGTTCAAGCACCGCCCAACCGGGTGGATTACCCGGCTCACCCGGCGCTGGAGCAGACACTGTGTCCCCAGTAGAATATTTGAGCTCATTCTCTGCGATGGATGCAACGAAATGTGCTTTCGGTCGTCGGCCACTTTCGGTGGATCTGGCCCGCTCTCCCCTATGTTATGAGCTGCATGTGATTCCTAGATCCTTGCGGGTGGTTGAATGCAGGAAAGCCAGTCGGTCCAGTATGTCTTTGTATTGATTGTGTCCGGCACTGGATGTGTACGCTGTTGTACGTGTGTGTGTGGTGTACGGCGCCCGGTTGGATTTCTTCCCCCTCAGATCGTTATCGTTCGCCAGGCTAGCAAGGTGGGCGAGGTGTGCGCTGCGCCCGTGGCCATCAATCACACTGCTCGTCCCATTGCACACCACTTTGCCATGCTTGCCCGCCTGACCAAGGCCAACCTCACTGCTCGTGGCACCCCGAAGCTGCCCATCGGCTTCTTCGGAGTGGGACCCGTCATGTTCCCCAACACGGGTAAGAAGATCGCTGCTGGTGCCAAGCTCATTCGCCCCAAGAAGCCACAGGCTGCCGTCCCAGAGAAGGTAGCAACGGCCGTGAAGTCCATCTTCAACTCTTTCCAGCCAGGCCCCGTCGTTCTGCCAAAGGCTGCGTCGAAGAAGGCCATGGATGCCCGTGGCCTGCTGAAGAAGATCGGTGCAATCCACGCCGTCTTCGCCGCTGCCCGCAAGCCTGGCAAGAAGATGGTCTCCCCACGGAAGCCAATGGCTGATCTCAGCCGAGGAAGAATGACTGGCGTGAACCCAGCAGTGTTCACAGATGTCAGTGCCCAACCCGCTGACAAGCCCCAGCACAACATGGAGCACCACGGCATGGAGCAGCACAACAAGGAGCACCACGGTGAGGACCAGCACCACGGTGAGGACCAGCACCACGGCGAACACCGCCATGGTGAACACCATCACGGAGAGGAGCACCACGGCGAACAGCACCAGGACCAACAGGGCAAGACCAGCCGCTTCATCGCCTACTGGCGCACTAAGGACCAGCAGTTCCGTCACTTCATCATCAAGCACCCATGGGCATTGCCCACCGCCTTTGCTGGCCTCGGCGTTCTCGTCTCTGCCGTCATTCTGCTTGCTCTTCAGGTCAGGAACAGACGCCGTCGCAATGCTGCTCTCGCCCAAGAAAGGCACGCTCTCATGGACGAGGACAAGAAAGTGCTGATTGACGAGAAGCCAGTGTCCTTCTACGTCAATGAGATCTGTGCCTGAACTGCAGCACGCGTTCACGTTCAGCCTGATCTGCCGTCGCCGCGGACTACACGTGAACTGATCTGATCATGCTGTGGGTGCGTGTGTGTGTGTGTGTGTGTGTGTGTGTGTATAACATTGATGTCATGTGTTTGTGCGCATTGCTGCACCGTGTTGCTGCGCACATCCCATGCATTACAGTCGGTGTGCTTATTGTCTTGAATGCCCACGCGGTCATGCGAGAGGCACCTTGTTAACTACGGACAACAGAATTATCTAGATCTTGAGGACTGTTGATTTTATGTTTCCCGATATTATAGTCTCTCTCTCTCCCTCTCTCTCTCTCTTTGTTCAATGTTCTGTTTAGCAGACTATTTGTAGCTGTGTTGGATTGCACTAACAGCTGTGCACCAGTGTGTTCGTTTGGCTCCTGCTCCACGCAGAGTCCGTTCACAAAGAAGTCCAGTATGACCATAGCATCAGTTGCCGCTGCAAGTGTATAGCCCGCCGTGCCATGACCGAGCCCAGTGTGCACAATGGGTTTGGGTGGGTGCGATTGCGCGCGCTCGCGCGTTGTAGAGTTGTGTTAGCACAGCGCTGCAGAAATCCGATCGCGTGCGTCAAGTTTGCGCCCTGCAGTTTCACATGGCCAGTTTTCACATGTCTAAGTTTGCTTATACAGTAAAGTCGCGCGCCCAAGAACGTTGTTTCCGAGGGGTTAGCCTGGGACGTTCTTATTTTTCAGTAATCTGGCCTCGTTCTTATAACACGTTCTTAGAACCAATCCATACTGAATCATATGTGTCCCACAAGCCGCCAGAAAACCAACACCGACGTTCTTAGCTTTAGGCTGTGGCGTTCTTAGTATTTCAGGCTGGACGTTCTTCAGCGCGCGACTCTACTGTAGGGGATTCACACACACGGGTAAACCTGAGGTCACGGGACAAGGTAAAAGTTCAGACCTTCGGTCAACGGAGTGGGGCCGTTCACACCCGTGGTCAGTTTTCCCTTGGCCATGAACTTGTGGTGGCCGCGCGGGGCAACTAAAAAAATAATCTGTACCGCATTTTGTAGTACAGTCTGTACTGTATCTTGCATTCGCCATGCACGATTTTCCGATGGGCACTGTCTGAAAATGCAAGTAATTAGTAAATAATAACTTTATTAGGATGACCCAAAGCTTATTTTTAAAGGCTGACCGCCTATCGTGGGGTCCGTCGCATTGAAGGATGATGGTACAAGAGAGTGCAGATTGGGAAGGGGGGGGGGGGGGTTGCGATGCACTCGTACAACTAGGGTTCAGAGTTCTCACCAAAAGACAAGATCTACGCATGCGCGTCTTATAGCAAGAGTACATAACCCCCGGGGGGGTTATTATGTACTCTTGCTTTTAGCCATGGGATTTTCCCCTTGACAAATGCTCTGAGGCCCACGGCCACGGCTTTGCCCATATTTTCCCGAGAGGTTCTTCCTTTCCCACAGTACCATAGTTTCCATAACAACTTTCCCATACCCGTGGTTTTACCCGTGTGTGTGTGAATCCCCTATTTATAGCTGTCCCTCCCTGAAATCGCGATACCACGGACGCAACAACTTTCGCGTTTTTAGGCCCAAACCGGCGATTTTCTGCAAGATCCGCATTATCCCGCTTTTTTTGTGGTTTTCTGCACGTTTTCCATGATGATGACTGTGAATGCAGCTGTCCCCACACAGGACAACGCGGACAAATTCCTAAAATTGTGCGAGCGAAAACAGGCCATTAGAGAGGTTAAGTTACACGTTGTTTGCCCTTTTTCAAAACGCGGTGCAAATCTCACGTTACGTGTAATTTTTAGAGGTTAAGTTACACGTGTGACGTGACGTGAAATTTTGCCTGGCAGGATTCGGGTTTACAGTCCATTCAGAAAAAAATGAACTTCTAGCTTTTGGCCATAAATGGGTCAAACGTTGAGTTTTTTTAGAATTTTTTTCTGCAATCCCATATGGAATCCTCTTCCAATTATGTTTCTGAAGTTTTTTTGTCCAAAAAGCAAGCCATAGCAAGAATAGGATTTCGGCCAGGTTTTGCCCCAAAAGCACTGAATTGGGAAAAACCATCAAAATCCAGGCCGTTTGACCCCGCCTGCAACAGTGCGCATTCTGTGGTTCGAACCCCAGTTCAGGCACCCTTTTTGGACCCTTTTTCAAATTTCAAAGTTCGCAGCACTGCACTGTGTACGATGAAATCACGAAAAATCGCCAAATACGGGAGCTCGCCAGAGCCAGGACCCATCTTTTTATGAATGGACTGTAGTTCGCACAAATATCAAATCTTCCAACAAACTCGATAAATCTCGATAAAATTCCGGAAACTCACACAAATTCGGTCGGGATAACCAAGCGAAACTTCCAAAAACTCACGTCATGAACTTACGTGCGGGACAGTCAACTCACGTAAAACACGTCAAATTTTACGTGAATTTTTTCACTTTTTGACGTAAAAGTTCACGGACGTAAGACTTTTACGTGAAACTTAACCTCTCTATTATGCGGCAAATATGCGGGATTATGCGGCAAATATGCGAGTTAATGCGGTCATTAATGATTATGCACGAGTTTTCTGTCACTGGTACAACTTTAGCGTGCAGTCTCATGCAAGAATACAACTGTGTCGTACAAACTCATGAACCCATACGACTTTGTAGTACATTTTCAAAAGCATGCACTATTTTCTTGTACATTTCCCAGAATAACGCGGGATTTATGCGAAATCTCACGAAAACGCGGATGATGGCCAATGACGCGGAAAATTGCGCGTCCGCGGAATCGCGGTATCCTGTGGGGACAGATGTAGGTTATTTGCACATATTAAACAGTACGACTCGTACTACAAGGTTGCATGACAACTGAAATCCGACCCCTTAGCGGTGCGTCCACATTCTAGCGGTCCCTGTTTCGTACTTTTACTGTCCTGTGTTGGGTTTTGCGATGTGAGCGCACCGCTCAGGTGTCGGATTCAGTTGCCAGCACTGTCGTACTCCCGAGCAAATAGCAATTGTGAGGGGAGTTTTCAGAAGACATTACATGCAGACATACAGAACATGAAAGCCAGCTTTATCAAGAGAAAAAGAATTGAGTTCGTAAAAATATGCTTTGATAAAATGTAGCAAGGACAGATCAAAGAGTGCGATCTTGCTTGTTTCATAATAATTATGCTCCATACAAGTCTATACGGCGCGTGGAATCCTATTAAAAACAGTATAATGAATTATAAAAGAATATGGATTAGTTCAGGGTGCTGCTTTATAGAAGATAGGTACCAAACATGCATATGCCCATTGCATGTGTGCAAGCACAAACATACGCACATACAAATGCTTACACACTTACGCACACACGCGCGCGCGCGCACGCACACACACACACACAACACACACACACACACACACACGCACGCACGCACGGGTAGATCGAGAGTCATTAGAGACAGAGTCTCGCAAGGCCAGGCTGGACAAACAATCTGATGGTGTAGATGAAATCATGAACGCATCCGGTGACCATTGCCGCTTCAAAAGACCCAAGCAAAGCACTTCCACTATAACTTCGGTCATCGTGAGCAGCCCAAGACGCTCTCCATCTTTTGTTTGATCCATGGCAAGCTGGCATGAATGCTTGTGTAGACACCGTAGTATCCAGGTTGCCCGCACACAATGCGGGGATCGTCCGGGTTGACCTGTCCACACGTGCAGCAGTAGTGGTGGAAGACAAGACAAGGCAAGGCGAAGCATGTGTTCAGCAAAACAAGTACGGTACTGTCAAGTGTAACTCATGTATATTTCGTAGCTGTTTCCATTAATTTAAATAATAATTTTACCGCGTTCAGCGCAGATCAGAGTAAAAACTGAATAGAGCCCCCCCCCCTTTCTATAATGCAGTTGTGTGATGTCCACTTACAGTGAAAACTGTCTAAGCTGACTTCTCTCAAGGGACCTGCAACATGCAGGCAGGCTCATCACCCAGAGTCTGGGCCTGCTCACCTAGGCTGTGTTTACATGAGGCGTTTCAACCCGGGTCGGATTTCAACCCGCCATGTACACAAAATGAATGGCGCGTTTACATGACGCATTGCGCTTGACCCGGGTTGAAATTTCGCCCCGGGTTGATTTCAACCCTCCCCCCAAGGGGAGGGTTGAAATCAACCCGGGTCAAGAAAATCGTACAAACGTACTTCTGTGCGTATCTCGCGCCAGGTTTGAACAGGACTCGACTGACTGCATATGCAAATTTTACGCGAACGGATTCACGTGATCATACAGGACTCTAGAAGTGGAGTTTTGGCGGCATATCAGTATTTGACCCGGGTCAACCGTCTTCATGTAAACGCTCACCTATTTTGTCTATCGTACAGACTTTCAGCCCGGGCTGAACTCGACCCGGGTTGACATTTCTCATGTAAACACAGCCCTAGAGTATGGGCCTGCTCACCTAGAGTCTGGGCCTGCTCACCCAGGGTCTGGGTCTACTTACCCAGGGTCTGAGCCTGCTCACCCAGGGTCTGGGTCTGCTCACCCAGGGCCTGGGTCTGCTCACCCAGGGCCTGGGTCTGCTCACCCAGGGCCTGGCCCAGGGCCTGGGTCTGCTCACCCAGGGCCTGGATCTGCTCACCCAGGGCCTGGGTCTACTCATCCAGGGTCTGGGTCTGCTTACCCAGGGGTCTTGGTCTGCTCACCCAGGGTCCGGGTCTGCTTACCCAGAGGTCTGGTTCTGCTCACCCAGGGTCTGGGTCTGCTCACCCAGGGTCTGGGCCTGCTCACCCAGGGTCTGGGCCTGCTCACCCAGGGTCTGGGTCTACTCACCCAGGGTCTGGGTCTGCTTACCCAGGGGTCTGGGTTTACTCACCCAGGGTCTGGGTCTGCTTACCCAGGGGTCTGGGTCTACTCACCCAGGGTCTGGGCCTGCTTACCCAGGGTCTGGGTCAGCTGACTGGAAATCACACTGACTGGTCCTTGGACGTGTAGATTAATATGACAGGTCATCTTGTTCCCACAGTTTTTTTGGTCAGTTCCGATTCTCGGTGTTTTCAGTGCTGTAAGATACAATCTCACCAAAACAACGCTGCCCAATTCCAGCTCGGTATATCCATACTCGGCACCAAATAGTCGCATAGCAAAACAAGTTCATATACTAATACCACATTATTAAGAATGTTAGATGCTTTGGTCGACAACCATGATGCATATCTGCAGTGTTGATACACACTTCTACGATCTTACCTGGCCATAGCTCAGCACTGCCAGCACGACAAACGAATCATCCTTGCGACGAGCAACCAATGCCCCACCACTGTCACCTAAGAGGTGCAGACAGACAGACAGACAGGCAGACAGACACACACACGAACACACGCACACACGCACACATACTGGACTGTACTGTACTTGCTCACTGTCAACATTTGTCACGTGGGTCTCCCCGGGAGAGGGGAGAGAGAGAGACTCAAAAGGAATCTTGGAAAGATGACTCAATTGGCTATTGAACCGCCCATTGCGGCCAACCGCCGACACCCCCTGAAATCCCCAAACTATGGCCATGCAGGATGGGTGGACTTGGAAATGATCCCACTTACGCACCACACCTCAGTAAGTGGGTGAGGACAAGGTGCAAAACAAGGATTGACGACATCAGGGTATCCATCCCGGGAACCAACTGCAGTTACCCCTGCCCCCAGCGAGAGTATTACCGCCTGTGAGCATTCGTTGACTTTGGAATTTTCTATTCATCTCTCCGGATCACGCTATCATGGATTTTTCAATAACGTTCTTTGTTCTAGTGAGGGTAATACCGTATTATCTCTATTACAAGCGCAGTCTCTTGCAACATTATTTCAACGGTCCACTGCTCCCAGGGTTTACCGGGTGTTAGCGGCCATCGTGAGACACGATAATTTACTTTTTTTGCTACTGCCTCCAAGTCCCATGCACCTACTTCAAATCGCCTACATGTTTACCTGAACAAGAATCCATGACATCACCATTGCTATCCACGTCCCCACCAGCACACACCATGCTGTCGAGAAGGCGATGGCTCTTCTGACAGCGACGTCGGCTGACTATCCTCAGCTGAGCCCATCTGTCGCAAAGCACACGTACCGGTACAAGGAAGTGGTGCGAAGTAAACAGCAATGAAGTGAACAGCGACTGTTTGAGACGCATGTCTAACGCCAAGAGTGTGCCATTCAGAGGTTGCGCGTAGTATGTGCAGGCCCTGTCCCAAAAATGGGGTACTATCGATAATACCCATTCGGGGGGGGGGGGGGCAGGGAACTATGATGTACCAATCGCAGGACCGGCTCGATACATACCAGCAAGAGTCCATAACCCAAGAGTATGCAACTGTGATCTCTTTTCTATGGGCCAGATGCGCGGCGCGCTGCCTTCATTACATCATTCAGCTGCAGTCCGCGCACTGCGGAAAATCAAACACCGCACTTTCCCTCCAGTTTGAAATGAACTTTCGTACGGAACTGGAGTTCACGCGCCAGAATTCAGAGATTGTGTAGGTACTGGAACGAATCGAGCAAAAACGGATGGGCTCGTGCGAGAAATTGAGAGTTTGAATGCATGCTTTCAGAGCGTGATGAAGGCAAGTTACGTAATGAAGGCAGCGCGCCACGCATGCACCCATAATCACATTTGCATACTCTTGGGTTATGGACTCTTGATACCAGTACTACCGTTGTGAGCATGGAGAACTTCACAGGTGCAGAGCAATGAGCATGTACATGTACATGGTACTTTCAGCAGCCCTCCCAAACGAATAGTGAACCTCACTCATGCTATGGGCCTTTAGGCAAACGTGTTTTTGAAGTGGGAAATCCCCGAGGACGTGTATGTGGTAAGTAGTACAGTCAACATTGCGTATAATGACACTCGGCGGGACATCAGAAAAGTGTCCTTATTCGCGAAGTGTCGTTATACCCGATGTCTCATTATATGTATTACAGTTGGATGGGACTTTGCTCTGGGCATGGAAATTCTGTCGTTATTCCCGAATTGTCGTTATATCCGCAGTCGTTATTAGCGAAGTTGACTGTACATACCGCAAGACATGAGATGCCGATTTGACATGGCCATCGAGACTGCGCGCTCCCCAGCCGGCGATCTCTACCAGCGACCCGGCTGTCATCAGAGCTTGATCAGCAGGGCCCTCAGGCAAACACGCACACCTGATGTAGAAGCAGACGTGCACATACGAGCATGCGAGAACGCACACACACACACACACATACACAAACACGCACATACACACACGCAATGATATGTGCCGTATCTTACACACACACACACACACACGCACAGGCAGGCATACACACACAGACAGACACACACACACACACACACACATGTACACACACACACATGCACACGCACACACACACACACACACATACACACACACACACACACACACAAACAAGGATTCTTCGAAGTACATTGTGGCGCTGGTACATGTAACCTATAGCAACAATCCCTCCTCCATACACTGGTGACAACATGTCAGGTATATATCCGTGGCAGATGGATTTACTACGATCAAGTTCTCGTAAATAGTCAATTACCCTCACCTGAGTTCGCACATGCATGCCCTCATGCATGCGTGCACCCACCCACCCACACGCACGCACGCACGCACACCCACACCCCCCCCCCACACACACTTACGCACTTAAGCACTTAGGCGCCGACGCACTTACGCATGCACACACCGAAGCATGTATGCACATATGCACACACACATACGCACCCACCCACAAACACACATACACACACGCACACAACACACACACACACACACACACACACACACACACACACACACACACACACACACACACACACACACACACACACACACACACACACACACACACACGCACGCACACACACACACACACACACACTACTACTACTATGTACAACTGCCACAAAATGGCCACGTCGCTCCCAGAAGCGGGAGACAACAGCGAGAAAAAAGAAACAAGGAGAATAATTGAGGTGAAAGGGGACCGTTCTACACATAGCTAGTGTTTCTGTCTTCGGTGGCGGGTGAGGTCCTGCGGGCGGGAGAATCGTTCGTTACATAGGCTGCATTGAATGGGCAGATTAGTCCTCTGGTCCTTTCGCAGTCGTTTGCCTCGAGTACAATTATGGCGGTTAAAACCAGCCTGACTCTTCATGCAGCGATCACAGATCGAGCAATGGTGCTGGCAGCAGTCCAAATTCAGGCTGCATCTCGTTGAAACAGCTGGCATTTCGTCCGATGTCTGACGCTCCACACAACGATGAACTGCAAAACCGCCAGCGCTTTGAAACCAGCGGTCACAAACTCCACAGTGACGGGCCCCAGGCTGCTGGGCAACAGGTAAGGACCGTACAGCTGAGCACTTGTGACGGTGAATCCCACGAGCAGTGAATGATCGGTTGCAAACCTTGCAGGTGACTTTGTTGTTGTTACACTCCACGAGATCATCCGGAGTCTTTGCAATTGCCTCGCGCCATGCTGGGCGATCCTGAGCCAAAGTGAGCCAATTCACTATGCCACCGAAACGAAGATCACGTGCGACGAGGTCTTTCCATCGCAGTCGTGGCCCACAGGCTGGGCGTGGATCTGAGAAGAAACTAAACAGTATCAGCTTCGGAAGCCGGTTATCTGGCATTCTGGCGACATGCCCAAGCCACTGCAGACGGCGGTGTCTGACGGTATCAGATGGCAGTGCCATATCACCCCAGCGTCTTCGCAGCTCCTGGTTGTTGACATGCTGCAGCTGTTGATCGAGCCGGGATACACCCAGAATGAACCTGAGGGAGCGGTGGTGGAAGTTGTTGATGGCAACCATGTCTCTCTTCAGCGGAGTCCAGCACTCACAGGCATAGAGCAATGTGGACAGAACGCAAACATCGTAAAGATGGCGCTTGGTGGCGATGGAAAGGTTTCGGTCAAGAAAGACACGGCGCATAAGGTCGAAAGCTGCCGCTGCCGCCACACACACACACACACACACACACACACACACACACACACACACACACACACACAGACACAGATGATCATCCTTACCGACGCTGGGCGGAGAGGTCAAAGCTGCACGCCGGCAGTACCATAGCTATGTCGTTGCCATCTTCTGGTCTGCCGTTATAACCTCTGCCAAACATGATACGCCGGATATCACACTCAAACTGCACAGCACATAAAAACAGATACCAATAAACTGAGAGAAGAATTACACTATACTTCAGCACGCTGTTTGTCAGGAAGGGGCTACACTTTTGTTTTGCATTCAATTTTTTTTTTTTTTTTAAGCAATCCCAACAGACCCCAAGGTTTGCTTGCAGGCACCCAGGGCAGGCAGTTCCTTCCTTCCCGGTGGTGAAATGAGTTGGGGCTGTTAAAACAATGCGGAGTGATACAGAAAGTGCTTAAATGATCAGCATCAGGGAGTAGTAAAATACTCGGTAAGTCACTACTCCTTGCTGATTAGCACCAGGGATTGCAATAGATTCGTGCCCAGCTCGTGTATGTAAAATGGCGCACATCTTCTGCAAAGAATGCCAAAGATCCATAAGATGGAGACAAACAAGACCTCATAACCTCCTCGTGGTACAAAAAATACCAATTGGAGTCATTGTACACCATTAGCTTGCAACTTGGAATTTGCCTTCACATCTTTGATGTCACTTTGATGTCATCGTCATGGCTACACCCAAATTAGGTGCTCATAATGGCGCAACAATGCCGCTATTGATCTCATACGAGATAGTCTGAAGTCTTTCCTCACAAATTGCTATCATTCGCAATAACATCCCCAGCTATTTGCTATCGTGTTATGTTTCCGTGGAGACCGGGCGGAAACGAATACTAAGCCGTAGTGTGCGATATAGGAACACTTCTGATCTCACGGGGCAATGTACACTTCCTTGGTCATGTTTGTCCCTTGGGAGTGTCAGGGGGTGTTTCGTGACTGACTCCACTGTCCGGCACCAGAGTATACAATGCGGTGTTCAAAACAAAGCTAGGCATACTCTGGTTTACCTTCAACCACGAATAAATCTTTCGCCTTTTACTAAAGATTTCCGTGGAGGTGGACATTGAAGGAGTCTTCGAATTAATTTTTCTCCAGCCCTTGCTTTCTGAGCAGGGCTCGATTTCAATAAAAAATGAAAATTTGTTCATGTACTCATGCAATGACCACACACACAGGGATAGAGATGTTACACCTGCAGTGTAGCAAGAGGGACTCATGAGTGTGTGTGATCCCCGGTAGCAAGAGTACATAACCCCCCCCCCCCCCCCCCCCCAGAGTGTGCAATGCCTGATCCAGCTCTGCATAGGGTCTTGGTCGAGCATAATCGGATCTTTGCGTCATAATACCGTACACAACTGAGGGGAACCCGGGGAGTCGCGGGTACTCTCGGATCAAAAACAATGGTGCCCTGCCTCGAGACCGGCCTTGCGCTGGTGTGGAGTGTACGCATGACATCAGAAGATCCGATTCCGCTCGACCAAGACCCTATGCAGAGCTGGATCGGAGTTGCACACTCTGGGGGGTTATGTACTCTTGCCGGTAGCCTAATCGGTAGGGCACTGCCCCTGAAAGACAGGGGTCACAGTGCTGGGTTCGAATCCCGCTCGTGGATCCTTCTTTTGCAACACATGCACATGACATGGCAATGCTCCCCTTTGATGACTTGCAGAGAAACACAGCAGCGTAAAGCCACTCGACACAGAAAATCTTTCTTTCTTTAGCGGGAATATGGCAGCAAATGTGCAGTGCAGGTATTGTCTACACTAGGGAGCCAATACAAGATCATTGTACCCGAAATGGTTGGCATTTTGCCCGGATCTGCAAGTTCTACGTGATCCGTGGTCCATGGAACTCGCGATCACGATCATCACTTTGTCTTGCTGACCCGGAGCGCGGCCCAGACAGGCGATGGCTCATGCCAGTGTATAACTATGAATCGGCCCTGCCTCGTGGGCAACTGTTGCAGGCAGCCCGGGGCGGACTGCCACATGATTTAGTGTCGCAATCATCCGTGTTGTCTCCGTAGGGTGCTACGACTCCCTGATGCAGTGCCACTCAGGATTCATGGGATCAGGGAGTAGGAAAATACCGGTATTTTACTACTCCCTGATGGGACGTATCCTCTGTAAGAATAGTATTGTAGCGAGGGAGCTGGATAACAGGGTACGAGGGGCTATCAGTTAGACACTGCACCATACGGAATATGGCAAAGTGCATATGAGTGGTTCTGGAGGCTGAAAGAACAAATTTAATGTTTTGGGGTACGACTATTTCAGGATTCACCACCGAATGTGGGGGCTTTCCGCAGATCTGCGGTCCATTGCTCAACACTGCATCCACACGTCGAACAGCTCAATGGAGAAGACACACACCAGCAGGTGCTCACACAGTAAGCCATGGCAGTACAAACCACTGCTGGAGTGCAGTTCTTACCTCGCTGCCTTCGAGCACCGTCACGTCGTTCTCGCCAAAGCGGACGACAACATCCTCTGCCCTGAGTGCTATTCGTCGTGTACGGTCCCTGAAGCAATGCGCCGCTGCATGAACACAGCAAGCCATGATACAAGATAGATGTTGTCAAGTGACCAGTTACTCCACACACCCTCTCACACAGTATGACACACACACACACACACACACACACACACACACACACACACACACACACACACACACACACACACACACACACACACACACACACACACACACACACACACACACACACACACACACACACACACACACACACACACACACACACACACACACACACACACACAGTATGACACACAGTATGACACACATACACACAAACACACACACACACAGTATGACACACACACACAAACACACATACACACACACACACACACGCGCACACACACACACACACACACACACACACACACACACACACACGCACGCACACACACACATGCACACAGACACACACACACACACACACACACAGACACACACACACACACACACAGACACACACACTCACACAGTATGACACACACACACACACACACACACACACACACACACACACACACACACACACAAACACACACACACACACACACACAACACGCACATCAGTCGTGCATGACATATTTCACCGTGGAGACGATCAATAAAGTCCACCATCATATATCGTCATGACAGTGCGTCGCGTTCCGCATGCACTGCCGACACATGTACGTTACTGACCTGTCAGCACCCATTTGCAATTGTCCTTGCAAATGAGCGTTCCCGAACAGAAGATCTTGCCAGTTCGTTTGGACGCCAGAGCAACCTGAGTACACAACATCAAAGAGGCAATCAATCATTTCTCCAGGAAAGTTTTTTTTACTTACAGAATACAGGTTTTTGACAGTATTACAAAAAGGCCATGTGTCCTGTTCATCATTGTATTACATAGTACAATATTCTGTGGCGCCTATGATCTAAAGGTACATGCACACTGAGCTGGGCACTGGTGTAAGGCACCGACTTTACACACACGATCGGATTTCCTCGATCAGTGCTCTAGTTGCTAGCCAAACTAAGATACTGTTAGGCGTTCCCACTCGTTGTACACACATCTGCCATGTACACATACCTGCCGTATGCACATACCTGCCTTATGCACATACCTGCCTTATGCACATACCTGCTTTATGCACACACCTGCCAGATGCACATTCCTGTCTTATGCACATGCCTGTCTTAAGCCGCATACGTGTACCTGTCTTATGCATATACATGCCATGTACACATACCTGCTACGGACAAGGACATACATGTACCTGCCATGGACAAGCATATACCTGCCATGGACAAGCATATACCTGCCATGGACAAGCATATACCTGCCATGGACAAGCATATACCTGCCATGGACAAGCATATACCTGCCATGGACAAGCATATACCTGCCATGGACAAGCATATACCTGCCATGGACAAGCATATACCTGCCATGGACAAGCACCTACCTGTATGGATAAGGACATACCTGCCATGGATAAGCACCAAACCGTGCTTCCTTGCCACCTATGATCCTCTCTCGACCCGTGTAGCCAGACAGCGGTGAGTTGGGACGGCCACATTCCTCGTAATCTGCCAGTCCGCACACACAGGCAGCGGCAGCAGCGGTGACGGCGGCAGAAGTAGAAGCCACAACAGCAGCAACAGTGACAGCAGCAGCAACAACAACATGAGTAGTAGCAGCAGCAGCAACAACAGCAACAACAACAGCAGCAGCGGCAACAGCAGTAGACGCAGCAACAGTGATTGCCATGTTTCCTAGGTGCTGGGTGCAACATAATTGACAACAAATATTCATTTCAAACACAGCACTCCTGATTCAGCGGAAATTTGTGGAACAAAAGACTTGATATCTATCTTTGTTACGCCGTGGGAGATTATTACGTTTAATCATCGAAGAATGATATTCCACTGCGTTGTCGTTTGACTGTTGACATCACAGGTTTACTGCTCATTACAGCAGTGGATCCAGCGATCTCTACAGGGGTTCCAGTAGAGTCAAAACTGAATAGCCGATACATGTACATGGACACGCATATTGTTGCCAGTAGTAGTACATTTACGAAATTTAGGGGGTTCCGCGGAACCCCTGGAATCCCTCCTGCATCCGCCCCTGCATTACACCAAGCATAAAACTGACGACTTATGTTGTCTGCTTAGCTCCGCACACACACATACTCCATGTACTTACTTCCTTTGACCGGCACGACGCTCCTGACAAACTCTTCAATGTTCTCCTGATGGTGATGCCTAGCCACCTTCTTAGGCTGGCCTGTACAGCCACATTGGCGACGCTGATTCTGCGACTGGTACGCCAGCTTGAAGATGTACTCGTAGTGTGGAAGTGACGCAATGGAAGCGAAGTCAGCATGCGGTTGTGTCGCCCACTGCTGGCCCAGCGCGATGGCATATATCTCCCAGCCGAGTTCCTTCAGCGTGGATGCCGCTTCTTCAGGTGTGCCACCGTCGTTGATTTCCCCGTCCGAGAGAACGAACATTACCTGAAACGTGTAACGCATGTTTCAAATCTTTTTTCTCACGATAGCCAGTGGCCAATAAGAGATAATAGTGTGAGAGAGGAGAAACAGTGAGGAAGAATTGGGTGGGCGGGGATTAATGACTACTTAAGTGTACGGGCAGGGGTGGTCGCTATACGAGCATACAGAGTTGTGGAACAGCAGGGATATCTGGGATTCGAAGAGAGTACGAGAAGGGATTTAGCGAAGCTGGGTGGGCAAGTATTAAAAGATAGATTGTCCACAGCGTACATATAGTGTAGAGTGCAGGTATAGAGACGACGCATTGCGTCCTCGCAGTCGTTCACACACAGAAGGAATAACGTAGGCCCGAACATGCTAGGTTGCGCTACCCCTGCTTGGATGTGGTGCAGGGAGGACTCATGGCCGCCCACAACAGCCTGCAGGCGCCGGTTGTGCAGGAGGCTTTCCAGCCATCCGAGAAGCACGCCGTCTAGGCCATACACGGAGGCCGCTTGTGCAGCAGGCCAGCACGGTTAGCTTTATCGATGGCACCTGCTACAGGAAAACTGGATAATTTCGCTGGAGATTTATTTTCGGTAACTTCGGTACAGGTAACTTTTACCAAAAATAAAACGCGACCTAAAATTCCACCATGCCATGCCATACAGTGTGCAAAATGCATTTTTGGATCTGGAAAACTGCTTTACCGAAATGTTCGCGCTACTGAACCGTTGATTTTGGGAAATACCGAAAATATTACACCACCGAAAATTCCGAGTTTTACAGTATATTGGCAGGACATGAGCGGCTGGCTCCTCAGCCGAACAGCGGAACACCTATCACGGCTTATACGATACAAGCACAGCGCACAGCGCACACCATAACAGTACCGTAAAGTACCGCCAGAGCGCCCGTCTCGCGAGAGCGCCCCACCTTAATTTTACAGCCAAGCCAAGAAAAATCGTATGGCAGAATGCTACTAAGTTTGTACGGTGTGAGAACCTTAGTGTACTAAGGTCACACCTGGCATGTTTTTTATGTGGACCTCGAAGGTAAACTGGGTACGGATTGACTGCACAACGTGCAATGTGTGTACAAGGTCCGTGTCGTATGACCTACAGACAGGAAACCACCTCCACAAGACGACCACGAAAGGATGAGATGGTGGGGCGCTCTGGCGGTACTTTACGGTACATGTATAGCAGGGTGTCGTAACATCTAGAGACACTACACGACACTATAGTGCCCGCAGTAAATGATGAGTATTAGACCCATGACGTGATCTCACCTTTTTGCACTGTCTGCGGTGTGCCGAAGATCCGTTGTACACATCCAACGCCACTCGTCTGATGAAGTTTTCAAAGCCAAACCGGAGGTTTGTGTTGCCCATTTTCGGCCGTGTGATGTTGCCCAGTGTCCTATAGACCCTCCTGGTGTCATTGGCTTGTTCCAGAAGGAACCTGCCCACAGACAAGGCGAGAAATAGCGGGGCAAAGTATCTGCGCTTTTGAAGCTGTTCGTGAACACACATAACTGAAGCAGCTTGAACAACAAGCTTCTCTACAGTTGATACATCTCCAGTCATTAGTGGTCAAATGCCATCCTGACATCATTGCATAGGCTTGTATTGGGTGGGGTTAGGTGAATGACATCATTGCATAGGCTTGTATTGGGTGGGGTTAGGTGAATGATATCATTGCACAGGCTTGTATTGGGTGGGGCTAGGTGAATGACATCATTGCATAGGCTTGTATTGGGTGGGGTTAGGTGAATGACATCACCGCGCATGCTTTGTATTGGGTGGGGTTAGACGAGTGACACAATCGCACAAATTCCGCAGCACATCCAACGTCCTAACAAGTGACATTTCTTCGTTATAATAAGTTTTGCTGGGGCTGTAATGCCTCATACATTGTGTTATGTGCAGATATGCCTGAAGATTGCAAGATTGTTAACATATCTTCTTGTTACCGTGTGGATTTTGGTGATTTTTGGACAAAAATCGTTACATTTGCGACTCGTTACAATAAACATGTCTTACAGTATTACATGCTACGACTTACTTAGGGGCCGTCCGTAAATATCGATGTTTTTTTAGAGACGATATTGGTGCGTCTGGGGGGGGGGGGGGGGGGGAGGGGGTTTGAGCCATGTGCGTCTTTTCGAGCATCAGAAAAATATCGATGTAAATATCTGAAGTTTCGCCGATCCCTGCACGCGGACGTCTAAATGGCTAAACAAGAAATGTGAAACCAGCTTCCGTTCGCGGAGCTAAAACTCGCGACACAAGAACAAAATCAAAAATTGGAAGCTGTACGCCCATGGCGAATTTCAAGAGCAAAAGAATGAGCTATTGATTGTGGAAATCGGCCGAACGATGCCTGCAGGAGACCTTTTTCAAGACGTAGAGGCAGTGCGAACAAACACGGACGAACTCCACAAGAGTTTCCAGTCTTCACTGTCTGAACAAGGATTTGAAAAAATTCAAGCCCGAGCGTAGCCGCTTTGGCTACACCAGTACACGATGGCTGTGAGCACTGCAGCGCCAACCCGGTTCGCTCCCCCCAGGCGATGCAGCTATTGCGTGAGTGCGGCGGGATTTTCACGCCTACACCGGACCCTCAACATCCTGGGCACTTCATGATCATCCAAAAATATTGATTCCATGATCTAGATGTACATGTGCGTCTTCTGGGGGGAGGGAGGGGGATCAAGGGAGAGAAGCACCAATATCGTCTCTAAAAAAACATCGATATTTACGGACGGCCCCTTATGCTAGCTACTCCGGCCGGGGAAATACGAATTGTGCGTACAGGGTATCTTGTACTATATGGATGTCTTAGCTTAACCCTTTACTGACGGCACATACGGCGATGCTCGATAAATTCTACTTAAGTACACTTGTACAGTGTAGTGGTAGCGACTTCGGCAATGATTGTTGGGTGCGAGCTCCAGTGTGGGGAGCAAACCCTTTCCTAATAATATAAGCCCGTTGCGCATTGCCAAATATGGAAGGTATGAGTAATGCATGTGAGTGCACTGGGATCAGGAATGCACTGTTCAACACCCCAGACGACCATGCCCAGGTGGCTGTGTGGGGTGTTTATGGTACAAGTTACGTCATTGCGCAATGGGCTTGGAAGTACACCTGTTACACTTATGCATCTACGCCTTGATCTATAGGGGGTGGTGGCGTTTCTACGAATGCGGAAAACTCGGCTTCCAGCCGAGTCTCACGCGACTCGTGATGTTTTTTTTACACTTACACACTTGTCTTCTGGAAGAGAACCACTGACACACGAGCACGCTCCGCGCCGATGGTGAAGTAGTTGGTGACGACACGCACGAATGGCAGCGAGGTGTTGAAGAAGACGTCGTCGCTGATGCTGCGCGAGGCGTCCAGAAGGAACGCCAGGTCGTAGCAGCCGCGAAGGTCCTGCGTGATTGACCTGCTGCAGACCAGTGGTGTGTGCGCCACTGCGGACGCATTGTGATCACCAGATTCTATACAAGATGCAGCAAACACAGAAAAACCAAAAAATCATGGTTCGCACTGGAGGCCGCATCCGTAGGACCCCCCCCCCCGGGTCAAGGCACAAGCATGGCCTACAACATTAGCATGCCGTACCGTAGACATGGGTATAAACAGGTCAAGCGTACCATCTTTTTTAAAGCAGATTTATGAGCAAATAAATGTACTACTAGCAACACACACACAAGAGAGAGAGAGAGAGAGAGAGAGAGAGAGATAGAGAGATAGATAGATAGATAGATAGATAGAGAGAGAGAGAGAGAGAGAGAGGGAGAGAGAGGAGAGAGAGAGAGAGAGAGAGAGAGAGAGAGAGAGAGAGAGAGAGAGAGAGAGAGAGAGAGAGAGAGAGAGAGAGAGAGGAAGAAAGAGACAGAGAGAGCTGTGTTGCAACTCCGAGTTTCACATAGTCACGTGTATCAGGCTACTGTACAAAATATTGTACAGGTAAGGAGTGCACAAGAGACACCAGTTTCTGGATAACATACACACTCAAAGAACATTAGTCATTCTGTTGAGAGCACTACACCACTGACCTGTATGATCACTCTCACTATCGTCCTGGTGTTGACATGACTGGCGGGTTGATGCAAGAGCTGTGTTGGACTCGAGTGCCGGCTGGAACAAGCTGTTGTACAGCCTTGTCCAAAGAGGCTGCACCGCTGTACACACCACACGGCAGATTGAACACTTCACAAAGATATCCAGACACTTGATGTTCCATTCGACAAATTGTTAGAAAGGTATTTCAGAGCTGGACGGCATGCCTCAGTTCACTACGAGCACACACCGTCAGCCTTGCAATTTCAGTTCCTTTGTGTCATGAAGTTGTGTGCTACCTCTGTATTTTCGTGTCTTGGGCCCCCGGATTTGTCCACATCAGTCCAACTGTAACATTCCAGGGGAGGAGGGGCAGAGGCTGCCAATACTATCCTGAAATCTCTCGTGACTACTTGAGGCCAATCTCTCCGCTTCATTCTAGCTTGATAATGAAATTCATGACCCCCCCCCCCCCCCCAGTACGGCAGTATTGCTTAATGCTGGCGATGATAAGCTAGGGCTGTAAAGAAGGAGGGCTCGTAGCTGTGGTACTAGTCACATCACATCAAGTGTAGAGGGGACGGTTTCAAATAGGACACAGGTTGCAAACCGGAACGGACTCAATATTCACTTTCTCTCTTGGTATTTTGATTAGAAAACATATGTCGCAGTGAGACTACGATGTGTTATACTCCGAGCCAAAATTTCATGGCACTGCGATGACCAGAAGCGCCATACCAAGCAGGTGAGTTTTTGACGTGTTGCTTCGCACTGCGACTTGAGTTTTACGACTTTCGAAAAATCAACTTCTTGTCGCAGGTAAACAGCGGCTGGCCTCTCGCCAATAAAGCACCGCATACCAAGCAAAACTAATGGAAGCACACACAAGGCTTATTGTTATTCTGTACTGGCCGTCGTGGAGCGATAGCAATTACCTAATTTCAGACCCAGAGTGAATTTGACGTGCACTCTAAAACGTGTCCGGTTTGGAGCCACCTCTGATTTGAACTTTTTTGAAGCGAAAAATTGGGCAACTTGGAGGCAATGGGTCAACACAAAGGAGTGGCTCAGTTCGATTGACTCTGGCCCCAGAGCAAACTTCAACATGCCAGTTTCCTTCCACAAACATATTTTGAGTGAAAAATCAACGCTGATGATCGGTTTGGGTCTATACAAATTTGGCTGTCAAAGCGTCCCGGTATCGAGCCGTCCCCTCTACATTTTATCCTGGAAGAGCAGGGCAAAATCCACCCTTCGACTAACACCCAAGTAATGATAGCTTTAAGGCCTGCATTTGCACTTTGATCTTTGACGGTGTTGGCGTTCCTACCCATGCGGAAAACTCGGGCTCTACCCGAGTCTTACGCGAACCGGGATTTTTTTTGTAATGATGGAAATGAGAGAATGGAACGAGGAGTTCTAGAACCTGTGGATTTACACTCTGGAAAAGGGGAGATTGGACATCACACGGCAATGCATCTCAGTGCATCTGGCGTCCTGGGAATATACAGCCCTCACCTCGGCATTTGGGTGGTGTGCCGCTCCACTTGTGGGTGTCTCGGAGGCAGATCCTCGAAACGCACCGGTCACACATCCGCCCTGGACCACAGCCGTAGCCTTCCAGTCCCGGTCGACAGCAGTGCTTGGCGAAGGAGAGAAAACCTGACAAACAGGCCGGACAAGGCAAAAGGTATTTTTTGTATTGTATTGTATTTTATTATTTCACTTGGGCATTCCCCACAGACCCTAAGGTCTTCTTACAGGGTGCCCAAGATGAATGAATTCAAGTTCCTGGCGAAATGAATTGGGTGACTCAAATCAGTTCTAGTCGTTTGGACAGGACTTATCAGAGATCCATTGCTTCATTTACATGTAGCTTGAAAATTTGGGGAGACATAGTTTTTCCTTGCTTCTTTGCCCTTCCTGCTCAGGCATCAGCATTATAGAAACTTCAAATTTCGCACACTCTCAATCATTGATAACTAGTAAGTCATGCATGACCTGCATGACTGTAAAAAGATAGCCCCAGTCGACTGATGATTGCTTTTCAGCATGAAACTCGTGAGTAGAGAGACATTCAATCACTTCTTGTTCCACCGGATTTTCGTTTGTGACTTTTAAAAGAGCAATGACCATCAGGCAAGGCAAGAGATCGCACATAACTCGTACCTGGGTAAATCTCATCCTCAACGATGACATCACCGTCGTCTTCCGGTACTGGACAGTTGACCTGCCCTGCACCGGCACAAGACAGATTATCACACCATGTACAACAAAGGCATTGTTCGGTTGTATATTCCTTGTTGCAGGAACATCACAATCTGCAATTTAGTGAGAGAGTAATTCCACTGCTGTGAGAATGGTTTTAGTTCTCTACCAGCCATGCAACGTGGATATGGCCGTAGTAACAGTTACTATCACTTGGGTATGATAACCACCATCATGATTGAACTAACTACACACTGCATCACTACGAACTCTGCACGCTACTTCACTCGAAATCACGTTGTGTGTGTGTGTGTGTGTGTGTGTGTGTGTGTGTGCTTGTGTGTGTGTCTGTGTCTGTGTGTGTCTGAGTGTGACGGTGTGTGTGTGTGTGTGTGTGTGTGTTCATAGTATGCACATCTCCCCGTATGCAATAGCAGAACAGATGTGCGCAAACTCACTGCTGCATTCAATCTCGTGCATGAGGTACGCCGACTGCCACGTTCCATCGTTGCGGCATGTGTAGTGCGGCTGGCCGTGCAAGAAGTAACCGCTTGCACAGCTGACACGGAGCACAGAGCCGACGGAACGCGATGCCGGAACACTGACAGCAGCATGAGCAATGTCCAGCGAAACCATGGGGCACCATTCTTCCTCTGCACAAAGACAACGGGAACAATGCCAGGAACTGAGAAGATCCGTATCCACTACAACAGTTTTTAATGCTCTGCGAAGAAATCAACAGAATCAAAAAGAGGAATAAGCTCTGATGTACTTTTGATAGCTTTAATTAAAGCTCTGATTCATAATGTTGATGGAGTTGAAGATGGGAAAAGTCTGAAGAAAAAACTGTCACCACCAAGACGAACCAAGGACCCTGTACAAATATAAAAAGTGAGTTTGCCACTTGCTTTGAAAGCAGAGAAGGTTCCAACAAGGAGCAGAAGCCGCTAGGGAGGGGACGCAAGGCCATAGCACCTGACATGTGCTGGTTTCAATCCCGGAATTGGAAGTGCCACATGATGCACATGATGCGTGGTCTATGCAGCTCACAGTGGTGATTGCAGCCAGTGACTGTAGTGTTCTCTCAAAGTACAGTAAAACCTGGTGTAAGCGACCACCCCACGGTGCAAGCAAAAGCGGTTATTACAGCCAGGTGGTCATTAGAACCAGGTCCCACAGTGTCTGTGTAGAACAGTCCGTGCATGGAAAAACGGTCGTTAAGAGCAGACGGTCGCTAATGTCAGGTTTTACTGTACTTGCACGTAGAAAGGCTGGAGGATATTGGTCAGCAGATTGCATGTCACCAGAGCTAGCAGCAGAGGACTGCAGTCTGCAGACAAGATAACACTACAGTGATCTACCGGCACCAGATACAGCCTAGACCTGCGATATGCTGTATATGAGCATGCATAGATTGGCCCTGCTCCGAGTAAGGTTACCGCAATGGGTGGTAGCCTGTTATTAAAGAAAAAATCCAAACCGTCCCACATTCCGCACTCTCGTGTTTTCTCCCTAGCTCCCTAGATCATGCACTGTAAGGCTACAAGTTTCCGGCATGTTTAAATTTCGGCCTGCACTGCTGTTGCCTGTGCGCACGTACACTTTCACATTCAACCTTGCAAAACAAAATTCGGCCGCAACAAATTTTAGGTCAAAAATGTCCGAAAACAGCCGAAAATGCACCTGCGCCGAATATTTGTAGACTTCCAGTAGGTGCTATGACTACCCGTTGCCCAGTACACACCCAAGCCAGCGGTCAATGCTACACCGGCCAAGCACTTTTGTAAAGGTGGCTGCCCAGTGCACGACGGAGATTGCACAGATAGGCCTGTGAGCGCCGGCGGTGGTCTGAGCACAGCCCAGCCCGACTGAGCTCAGTGAGCTAGCAGGTTCAACAATGTGTGTACATGCGCATGTCACCCTCAGGCCCACCGGAACCAGTCCGGTTGGTCAGGTTATTATCGGACCAACGTTTCGGCCACCTACATAATTATATTTCCTAGTTTTGAGGATATCTGTACCCGCCATATCATACACAAAGTATGAAAAGGTCGTGATACTGCCGGACCAAACACAAACTGCTTCCGGCGGTTCTGAACCAATACATGCAGGCTGCATGGAGTCGTACAGTCAGACCTCGCTTATCCGGTCCTCTTTTATCCGGAACCCTCGCCATCCGGAAGAAAATTGTTGGTTACCGATTAACAGCATATGTCATACATACATACAGTATGTGTGTTCGATAATCCGGGTCACTCGCCTATCCAGATATTTTTGTGGAAAACGGATGTGTGCGGCTTTAAAGTGAGGTCTGACTGTACTGCAGTGTGGCATTCACGCCATCATATCAACCGCAGTGCTGCATTGTCAGCAGTGCCACAGCTCCAGCAGTGCTTACCCCTCTCCCTCTGTTCTAGCCAAAGAAGGTCCGCGCGCGCTCTGTGAATACGCACGCTGCATAGAGGACCATGGAAAAACGGGTGAACAGTATGACCCCCTGGCCGCCTAAAATTCTTTAACCGGCTAGAACCCTACTCACCTGTCGAACAGCGCGGTACCGGAGTGCTCCACTCTCCGTCCTTTCCGCACGTACTGTACCACCGGTCGTCCCCCACTAGCGAGTGGTTCTCGCGGCACTCGAACCGGATGAGATCTCCCGGACTGAACACAGCAACATTCTCCGGTGTAATGATCCCATTCGGCAGTGCGCCTGGTTGTGGCTTGTTACATGTCACTGCAAACAAAGAGCAATCCGGATGTACAGTAAAACCTGCCAAGGTGACCACTCTGATAAGGTGACCACTCTGATAAGGTGACCACTCTGATAAGGTGACCACTCTGATAAGGTGACCACTCTGATAAGGTGACCACTCTGATAAGGTGACCACTCTGATAAGGTGACCACTCTGATAAGGTGACCACTCTGATAAGGTGACCACTCTGATAAGGTGACCACTCTGATAAGGTGACCACTCTGATAAGGTGACCACTCCGATAAGGTGATCACTCTGATAAGGCAACCACTCTGATAAGGCAATCACCTGTCCAAGAGGACCACTGCAACCAGGACCAATGCAGGGGCGTCGGAAGGTAATTTAGCGTGGTACGGTCAGCCATCTGAAGTACAAATTAATCGTGGGGGAGGGTCGGCTGAGCTGAAAATTTTGGAAATTTAGAGCCCAAATCAGTGCATTTTATTGATTGATGGGGTACTTGGGGCAAATAGTGGTACGGTCAATACCGTAGTGACCGTATCGTGTGCGACGCCCCTGCAATGGTTGTTATTCTCAGTCAAATAACCCTGGATAAGGAGACCACCTGGTAACAGAGACCACGTTTTGAAGGTCCCTTGAGCGATCGTCATAACTTGTTAGACAGGTTTCCCTGTACACACATACATTATCCATGTCTACGTCTACATTGTATATGAAGAGTTTAGTTGCAAAACGCGACAAGCACAACATTTGAGAAATTCAGATTTTCAGCTCAGTGTAATCAACAGGTCTCTAAAGACTAAGGGAACCCTCACACACAATTTCACATTCAAAATCACCACAAAAAAAAACCACTTCAAAACTGGTACCCAAAATTTACCGTATTTGCCGGAGTATAATGCGCACCTTTGTATAACGCGCACTCCAATCTTCAACCACAAATCACAAAATGGCTCTATTCGGTGTATAACGTGGAGTCAAATCGGGGACATTTGGTTCTGAAATTGATCTCGTCAAAGGATGGTGAAACTTAAGAATATGTTCCGGTAAGTCAGACTATGACTATGAAATTGAGGGAATTACGAACTGTGAACATGAAAACAACATTGTTTTTCCGTGGATGTTCTTGAACGTCGATGAACCTGAGCACTCGCTCCGTACGATACAGTGCATTGTGTGTATAGTGCGCACTTGAACTCTGGCACTTTTGTACTAGATTCTCGTATTCGGTGTATAGTGCGCACTGCAGATTTGAACTTCAAAATTCACTGCTCAGTGTGCGCACTGTACACCAGCAAATATGGTATATGGATTTAGTAGAATTGTACATAAATCAAATCCGTTTTTGGTCATTACTACATATATAGTATCTGAAAAGTGATGAAACGGATGTGTCACGTCAGTTCGCATCTAAGCTCGTAGAATTATGTATAAAATTGCACATACAGTCAACTTCGCTAATAACGACTGCGGATATAACGACAATTCGCGAATAACGACAGAGTTTCCATAGCCAGAGCAAAGTCCCATCTAACTGTAATACATATAATGAGACCTCGGGTATAACGACACTTCGCGAATAAGGACACTTTTCTGATGCCCCGACGAGTGTCGTTATAAGCGAAGTTGACTGTACATACAGTACTCCATCTTGACACACATAACCACATACACACCCAAAGTAGCACAAGTAAAATCCAAGCACATGCAGATGCGCGGCAGTAGACAAGGGATACGGCTCCATTATTCCCAAGTTAAATGTGTATGTGCAAGTCGCGAGAGGGATACGTTCGCATATACCACGTGACGAAATGATCACGGGTGAACGGCTGCCATTTACAAACTTTACACTTATCGTGTGAAAACATAAGCCACTCCGGTTTCCGCCACGGATTCAGCAGCATGCAACAATGCTGCTCTCACCTTGCCGAAACAGATAGCGAAACGTCACATTGAAACCGGGCGCGTCGCCAGACAGTTGCTGCGCGCACGTGGAGGAGACTTTGAAGCGCAGCTCCAGCACCTCCCGGTACAGAAGAGAGACTTCTCGACACGGCGACCCGATCTGTCCTGCAGTGCACACGCCACACCAGACACACGTACGACAATGTCACGCTCACACACCACGTTTATCTGGACTGTTCGGGACCAGCCACTGCGCGAAAGCGTGAACACACTCGGCCACAACTAGAACAAGTGAGGAGTGTCTGTAACTCAGGATCACATAATTATATTTCGGGGAGCAGGAATAATCAATAAATGGGAGAAAGCAGCAATCATAGCTACAACATCATTATTTTGCAAAATGGCCAAGTTCGTTGCAGCTTCTAAGGCAACAACAACAATGGTTAAAATTAAGATACTAAGAGCAAATTAAAATAGAAGAAATCACATGGAAACGAGTTACGAAGCAACTATCCACGACTCTTAACAAGATAATAAGCAGTCAGCAGTCGTGGATAGTTGCTTCATAACTCGTTTCCATGTGATTTCTTCTATTTTAATTATATTTATTCCCGTAGCTATGCAGAAGACGTTACTTCAGTAACGTCTGGCGCTAGCCAGGGTCCACACAGCTTTAATTTGGTGTTTGTTTGTTTGTTTGTGTCACGCCTGGCGCTATCCTGTATCTGTCCCGTACCGTACCGTACCAACAAAGACAGCTGGCCACAATATTTTTGTTTGTTTGTGCCATCGGCATGCCTGGCGCTATCCCGTACCTGTCCCGTACCATCAAGTGTACGGTACCATCAAGAGAATGAGTATATATGCGAAGTGTATCGGGGAATGCATTCAGTGCAGTAACATTTTGTGTGGATTTGTGTGCGAGGCCGAGATCCCACTAGCAGGCTGGCTGGGCCGCCTGTCGAACAGCCCGGGAATCGCATGTAGGCCGATAGCATAATAATTATAACGTGTATACAGTCATGTAGATGTATAGCAGGGAGTCATATTATGTAAACGACTCCCTGCTGTATGGGGAGATTTTCTGGAAAGAAACACGAAGTAGGGAGACGAGTAAATGCAATTAGAATGGATGTTAGTTGCCGTCAGTATAATAATAAGAAGAAGACGAACGCCCGTGATCGGCAGAGTCAGCGCCGGTCCCAGGAAACGGCAGGACAGACATCCCGTCGACTCCAGAACGCCTGTGATCGGCAGAGTCAGCGCCGGTCCCATAGCTATGCAGAAGACGTTACTTCAGTAACTCATTGAAACGTTTTTGCAATACAATGATGTAGCTAATCAAAGGAAAAAAAACTTTTCCATCAGTTCTAACAACATGCACGATGAGCTAGGCAACAAAGCATAGCGCAGGGCCCTGAGCTTCCAAGCTCTCTCGTTGGCTCAGTATCGGAGTTAAAAATACTAACAGTTAGGAGCTACTAGTGTATAATAACGAGTGCCCACCTTGCTCACTGAGTGCTAAAATGTTTCGACGATGTCCCGATGCCATGTGGTGTCGCTTCAATATGAGGCGGTCGCCATTCCTGAGTGAAATATCATTGAAACAAACTTCGACACGTGCCGCTTGGTCGCCTGCATACGTATCAAAAAAGAGAAGAAAAAGACCATGGGAAAGTAAAAGGGGGACATTTGTACATTGACGGCACATGGCAGAGTCACGGGCTCAGCCATAGCTAATGCAGAACACCACATCACCTAAAGCTGCTCTGCTTGATTCGGGCTCGGAAGCATGCAGTCCAGATAGCAGTCAGCATGTTGCAGTGCTTCTGACTGGCTTGTTAATAAGGTTCGTATTAGAGAGTAGTAAAATAACTGTCAGTATTGTACTGCTCAGACGCCTACGCCCCTTTGTGCTCCATACCATCATGTTTGTCACACAACATCGTTTGTCTGCAATTTCTTGGGTAGTTCAGTTGAGTGGAGATTACATCCACGTGGAAATCAACACAGCATTGTGGTGTCGACAGAGCACTTCGAAACAGTCACGTAAAATCATTAACAGCACCTAAGAGCAAAATTCAGGGAAAATGGACAAAAGGGAAACCTATACATGGCAAGGAAACTGTTTGCCTGCGGTTGTCAAGTACGGTAACACTCACCTGGCCGTCTGCCCGTCACCTTGGCGACGAATCTGTACGCACTGCCGCAGAGGCATTGGCTGGCCGGGCGCAACACGACGTGATGTACTGCTACCTGTCGAGTCTGGGCGCTGGGGAAACGCATTGTCGGGACAACGCCCGGCCTGCCTCCCCAGGTACAGGGCACAGTAGAAACATCCACAGTTTCGCCCGTGCCTGGTGAACGTAAAGAAAGGCCAGCACAAACCGCACAAGTTGCGAGTTATGACTAACAGTCCACCAAGGTAACGAGATAATATACACTCAGATATTGCGACAACAAGGCACACAACTGACAGGGATTTTGAGACATTCCACAACCTTATAGGTCCTTTCTATTTACATAATACTATTGGCTCAACATCTGAGTTTTAACAAACCACAAGGCTTGTGAAAACTCAATCTCTAGGTCGTCAATTCTGATTGCAGCGGCGGCTCTGGTATGACACTTGCTGGATATTCGACCGTGCTTAATTAATATCCTTTTATCAACAAAGTGGTAGAAATGGAAGTGAGGGAACAAACACGGAGATGAAAAATCAGGCACTTCTTGTTGCAATGATAATGTCACTGGTTCCTGGAAACACTAATGATTCACACTTCGAAGTACGACAGGACGCACACACGTGCGCGCGCACACGTACACACACAGACCCCCCCCCCACACACACAAAGAGACAGGGATACTTGATGCAGAAGGTTGGAGGCAGAGAGAGAGAGACGAACCAGTAATGTTCAGGTTGGCACAGCGGCTCAGTAGGACAGGTGACATGGTGCAGGAGGTAAGTTAATACTAGTGCAGGTATTCCATTAAAAACACAGTGTCAACTCACTGAGCTCCAGGAAGCACATCAGGCCCACCATGATGCAAAGGGGCCAGCTATACATGTTGCAGCGTCACCAGCAGTTCAATCAACTGGTACTTTTCTGTTCCCTGCAGTTAACAGCATGAGGTGGCGGCATCAGCATAAAATAAAATAAACACTTTCATTCCAAAGGATCAGTCGGGGTTGATCCTTTGAATTTGAAGTTCTCCCAATCCTTTCAAAAAATTAATCACTTTCATTCCAAATCCTGTTTTCGGATTGACTGCTGAGAAGCTTTGTGGAGAGGGACTGGCAATTTTGACAGCTTGTACATATCCACAAAATGGGTTTCATCTTGGCTTCGCATATGCAATGGCAATTAACACACCCACGATCTCTGCAACAAACATTGTTCTGAGTATCAGCATGCTTTACACAGCACAGCAAACATGCTGGTTGATCCATGACCAGCAAGATCTTTTGGGTGAGAGGGAAGAGGAGGAGGAGGATGGGGGGGGGGTCCTCGTTATCGGGTGCAAAGAGACAGAGACACAGAGAGTGACAAAGAGAGAGAGAGAGAGAGAGAGAGAGAGAGAGAGAGAGAGAGAGAGAGAGAGAGAGACAGACAGACAGAGACACAGAGATACAGACAGAGAGAGACACACACACAGCGATAGACAGAGAGAGAGAGAGAGAGAGAGAGAGAGAGAGAGAGAGAGAGAGAGAGAGAGAGAGAGAGAGAGAGAGAGAGAAAGAGAGAGAGATAGAGAGATTAGAGAGAGAGAGAGCAGAGAGAGAGAGAGAGAGAGAGAGAGAGAGAGAGAGAGAGACGGGGAGACACACAAACACACACACAACGGATGCGTGCGGTTAAAGGGGAAGTTAAGGCAAAAATTAAAATTTCACCAGTTGTAGTCTTCGGGGTGCTGAGTCGAATGGTCTTGGTCCGAGGAAGCTGAGACGCTCCCTTCCTACTTGAATCCCAATCGAACTCGCGCACTTCCACCGAAACTGGGTGACTGCGCCCTACGAGATGGGGATTTGTATGCAAAATGTCACTAAAAGCGCCATTTCGTTCTTATAAAAGCACGGATGACCGCGATTGGCCCATATGTTGTAGTCTTTTGGACGCTGAGTCGACTGGTTTTGGTCCGAAAAGGCTGCGATGCAGCGTTCCTCCTTTATTCCCAATCGAACATGATTGAACAAGCGGTCACGTGCTCCTGGGTGCTCAAATCACCTGGTCACCACGCCAGCAGGCGACAACTTTCACACCAAGGTTCAACTCGAGTTCAACTCGAGTGACAGGAGTGCATCCAAAAAAGGTCAAACAGGCTAGTAAGTTGTACCCTGCAGGCACGGTGACCAGGTGACTGGTGTACGCAGGAGCACGTGACCGCTTGTTCAACCATGTTCGATTGGGAATAAAGGAGGAACGCTACATCGCAGCCTTTTCGGACCAAAACCAGTCGACTCAGCGTCCAAAAGACTACAACATATGGGCCAATCGCGGTCATCCGTGCTTTTATAAGAACGAAATGGCGCTTTTAGTGACATTTTGCATACAAATCCCCATCTTGTAGGGCGCAGTCACCCAGTTTCGGTGGAAGTGCGCGAGTTCGATTGGGATTCAAGTAGGAAGGGAGCGTCTCAGCTTCCTCGGACCAAGACCATTCGACTCAGCACCCCGAAGACTACAACTGGTGAAATTTTAATTTTTGCCTTAACTTCCCCTTTAAGCGAGGTCTGACTGAAGTTCCAAATTTGGCAATATCTCCCTGATTTGAATGATACCTGGTGATAGTGTGTTTGTAATTGCCCCCCCCCCCCTATTCTTTGATCTGTACGATTTTCCTTTGTCCACAACTGGCGGAACCCTATAAAAACCCAACATCGAACTCATTATAGGTAACGAAAAGGGACTCTCGAAGCCCATAAAGACATATAGCTCCATAAGCTAACAATAAGAATGAATTAAAAAAGAGAGGACCATAAATTTACAAGTAAGTTATCCGTTTCGTCCAACACTAACGCTTATAAGCAGGATACTGGTGAGTCAAAATGCACAAAACTGACTGATGTGATACTGACATTCAACGACCTCAATTCAACGACTCGATGAAACGACAGTATCACATCAGTCAGTTTTGTGCTAATTGTTGCACATTTTGACTCACCATCATCCTGCTTGTAATCGTTAGTGTTGGACAAAACGGAAAACTTGTAAACTTATGGTCCTCTCTTTTATTATTTCGCAATCCTTGGCTCTCCATCCGAGTTAAATAATAATGAAGTTCACAAGAAGACCCCAGCATTTCATTTGCTTCGATTCTCCTTTTACTTTGAGTACTTCGAAGTAGTACTTAGTGCTGTTCAGTTATCAGAGGAAAACGTGCTATCAAGTATCATACCATACCAATTCTCTCTGCACACAAACCACAAAACTACCCACTGTCAGGGTACACACACGTACATGTACAATGTGTTCTAACGTTAGGTCTTACATTGAACCTATATTTGCAAAGATTATCCTGCCCAAGCTTGGTCAGCTTATGTGCAAGGTGGGGGGGGGGGTAACAACCTTGTTCTAAAAATGTAATACTAGTAGTAGTGCAGGGCAGGTCAGGCCTATCGGCTTGTTACTAGTCGTTAGTGCCCTTCAGGTTAGCCCTGGGGCTAATCTGTTGGGAGCTGAGCAGGCCATGAGGACCTCCCTGCCATTCACTATTGATTTCTGGAGTGAAGCTTTGGTCTTCTTGTGATTTGTGTGGTGAGGGTAAAGAATGGGTATCTATTCTGGATTCCTGGTATACTTCCATAAAGAACCTGGAATCGAAGAATCCTGATAGTATGTCTGGCCCACTACCCGGTCATGACATCTACGGGTAGTACTTCCTGGTCTCCAGTGAGTATTTCGACGCGAGTGCTGGTCAGACTGATTATTACCGGTGTGCGATCATGGTGATATTCTAAAGTATACTGTGATTACGACACTCACCAACCTCTTGATCTCGGTGTGCCTGAGAGTCTGAGAGTCTGAGACTCCGTAGATCTACCGTACCGACGAACCGGTCGCGCCACAGTGCGGTGCTTTTGCGTAGATCTACGTCGGACTGGCGAATTATTTGCAATCCGTCCTCCGCTCAGCAGCCCCTGACAGGTACTAATCTGATAACTGGTTCCTCGGCTCACGACAATGTCGGTGCGGCGCTCGACGAAGCGTTGAGCAGTAAGGTGAGGAGCAGACAATACCCGGTACTTGGCCTGAATGATCTTCGAATACGCTGGACTAAATGGACCGCGTGATGCCCACTAACGGAGTACTGATCTCTAGTCACCGTCGCTCCGCAAACCACTCTGTAACGGTTCACCGGCGCTACACCAACAGAAAACTATTACCAAAGTGTCTTGTCTTTTGTCCGTAGCTCAGTGGTTAGATCAATGCTGGCCTCAAGAGAATGTCCCTGATTCGAGTCCTGGTGGTGACAGTCAATTTTTCTTCAGATTTCTCCCGTTTGCATCATTCTTCTCCCTCAAACCAATGAATATCTAACCAACACTTGACTTTGCAGCCACTTCAGTACAGTAGTAGACACACTCGTTGATCCCACATCACACATCAGGGCTGCTGCAGACATCCAGGCCCGATTCGAAGCCGAACGAAACAGGAAAGGGATTGGACAATGGAGTGAGCTGCATAAACTCCATTCAGACTCTGAATGACCTGTCCGGCTAGGGAAACAGCTACCGCTAGGGAAACTGTTACTTCCAGGACTCTTTGGGTTGATTGCAGTCATTACCTGTGAAAAAGTCCCGTTCACACCGAAATACATTATACATGACATGCTGAGTGAAATCCGATCGAGTCACTCAAGAGTCAAGCTAGCACGTCCTGTGCATGTCCTGGCCTTGTGCTTGTTGTAAGGGGGCTGGGAAATGATGTGAGGAGCTTACTTGACTCGACTCACGTGATCGGATTTCATCGAGCAGCGCTGACATGTACTGATCTGATGTAGCAGGCTGGTGTCGCAGCATGCATGCGAGTGCAAGGAGCACTGCCACTGCACTGGGCCATGGCATGGCAGTGATGATGGCACTGGCACTGGCAGACTTGACCAGATGCTGCTGAGACTGAGAGAGCTAGCTAGAGCTCTAAACTCCCTAAAGTCAAGAATGTCTGATATTCGAAGAGGAGGGGAGTTAGCCTCAGTTAGCCTCAGTAGTGCAGTAGTCTGTACTTCGCCTAACTAAAATTATTACTTGCCCTAAGATACCAATGGCGATACCGATATGTATGTATGTATTGAATATTGTTTGCCTGATGATTGCACACAGTGCATGAAACTCGGAGTAGCGAAATATTACGAGTGATCCATTGTTTGTTGACATATGTATGTATGTATGTATGTATGTATGTATAACTCATAATCACAAGGTGATCGTAGAGGCATTAATCAGCGAGAGAATTGTGAATGATGTCTCTGAATCCAACTCTATCGTGTGCTGCATGAGAGAGAGCATGCAAGGGAAGACCCGTCCAACTTTTAATGTTAGAAATCCATGATGTCGCGGGCCTTCCTCTCGGTCGAGATCCAGGAGTTGATCCTTGCAGGAAGGGCTTGGAGAAAACGTCATGTCTCGTAACATAGCCAAACCACATCAACTTAAATTTCTTGACTTCGTTCGCTAGCCGCATCCTTGCTCCGATGATGTCATTGATTTCTTCCAGGATAGATTGGTTGGTACGCCGGTCGTGGTATGTTACTCCTAAGAGTCGGCGGAAGCATTTCATCTCGAAGGATGAAATTCTTCTCATTGATGAGGCAGATAATGTCCAAGATTGGCATCCGTATAAAACAGTCGCTAGCACAATAGACCTTACAAAACGAAATTTAGTAGGCAAAGAAAGTGATGGCGATTTCCAAATGAATTGAAGCTCAATGATCTTTTTCTTCCCTAGTGCTAAGCGTTTTCTTATCTCCACATCGGACTTGCCATCCGACGTGATTACAGCACCTAGGTATTTAAACTGGGATACCTCTTCTATTCGCTCATTGCCTACTTGAATGCACCCCAGATCACCACCGCCCTCCGGCGCTGCCATTGACTTGGTCTTGGAAGCATTGATCTGCATGCCTATACTAGTCTTGTTGCACTCGTATCCACGCGCTCGGTCAGGTCCATCAGCTCTTCCACAGACGATGCGATTAGATCTATATCATCCGCAAAACGTAGGTTGGTCACGCACATGCCGCCGATACATACTGACCCATCAAACTCCTCCAAAGCGTCAGACATGATGTACTCCATGAATACGTTGAACAGACAAGGCGAGAGTAAACAGCCCTGCCTGACACCCACTGACGTGGTGAACCAGTCGGTGATAGTGGATCCAACAACGATGGCAGCTTAAAGCGCTTCAACCAGGTCCACAATTCTTGCTTCGATGCCATGCGCGCTCATAATCTTGAATAGCGCTTTGTGCCAAACCCTATCAAAGGCCTTACGAAAATCGATGAAGCAATGATACACAGCCTGCTGATGGTCACGGTACTTTTCAATTAACAATTTGAGGTTGAAGATTTGCTCCACTGTGCTTCTTCCCTTCCGGAACCCTGCTTGCTCGTCCGCCAGCAAACCCTCCACTTGCGGCTGCAGATACCGATAAGATGAACCAAAATACTTTAAAAAAAAAAACAGCAGTAAGAAGCAGCAGTTTCACACGACGATCGTTTCGCTGTATGACGGCTCATCAGGTGTAGTTGGACACAACAAGTATTACTATTAGTTGTGTAGAAATGTCAGTTGTGTGGTAATGCCATTGTCACACTTTTAATTAAAATAATAATTACATCCCAGGCCACCTAGTAACAAACGAAAGCATTGCTCAAGCCCAGGTGGGGTTGAGAGACTGGCGTTCGGTCTACGGTGGAAAGTGGAAGCAAAGAAAGCGCATGTCCACCCAATCCCACCCAACCCTACCTGTGCCAAGATGGATACCTTCTACATTCAAACCAGTAATGCAAAGGAATATCCGCATATCCGGAATATTCTAGAACATCAGATTCTGGTGTCGGTATTCTAGAATACCGACACCAGATCAGAAAGATCAGAAAGAATGCTGTCTACAGCATTGGGTATTCGAACATTATTGCTGTTTTGCTGTATTATGCAGCTCCGACCATGATCTTCTTTGTAGTGTTGAAGATGAGAGGGTAAAAGCTTCTAGAAATTATGTTCTGAGAACTGTGAAGCTTGTTCTTTGGTCAAATTTGCCCGTTCACTAGTGGATATAATATATATTGACAATCCTCGTGTTCTGTGGACAACTTGACTGTTGGGTCTGATTGAGTGAAGTGACTGAGCCACTTCAGAAGAATATAGAATACTCGTTCGTTCGCCAAAGCGATATTCGAGTGACTATTCGTTCGAAGAAAGCACCGTTTTGTTGCATCACTGAGTCATAGTGAGTGCGTTCGATAATGCCCGCGAATCGATTCATGAGTCGATTCGCACTATTCACATCACGCCATGTGAATAAGGTGAATGGATTCCGAATCGATTCCAGGGCTAATGACATGAAAATCGAACGACTCGAATGCATGCGAATGATTCAAGTGCATAATCGAACGCAGCCAATGCCTACCGGTTGTCAGCCGCAATCCGGAGCGTCGCGTATCCGTTTCCTCTCACCAGCTTGCAAAGGTTCCGTAGCTTCGCACCACTGCACACTGCACAAACTCTCGGCCGGGCTAGGTGCCTTGGCTTTATGGCCAATCATCCTGACAGGACTCCGTGTCGGTGGTACAATATCTGTTCCACTGCTGCCGCTAGACATAATTATGCCCCCCCCCCCCCCACAGTCACCAGCGTGGGTGGGTTTTTAGCACGACGCCAAAAATTTCTAACCACTCTCGACATTGTAAATAATTAGTTGTAGAAAGTCAGTGCCGTTGGTCAGTGTCGTGCAATGTTATCGCATGAGCTGATTGTCAAGTAACTGGTGGTGTTAGTGGACTTTATAGCGTAACGTGTAGCTCCTCGCTTCTTTTTCCACTGTAGTGTAAGGTGCGCAAGCTCCACTGCAGCCACTTCATTGCACTGAGAACCCTACACACACCGTCCTCAACGTGAGTGTTCTCTTCGCTGCAAATTACGAATTTCTCGATCGAATTTCCTGACTGGAACACATCATCAGGATTGAGGAGAAAAACAGGTGAGGTGGACCTATATTATTCAACACAAGGTGGAATGAAACTACACCATACGTGAAGTACACCATCCATGAGGCACACACACACACCTCAGACCTGCCCGTCGCGGAAGCGATGATAGCGAACAGCTATGTTAGACATGGTAACTTGTGCTGGGATTACACCATTCAACAGCTTGCAAGGCTGATGAATTGACCGCCACTATGTTTAGCCTGGTATCCACCACACAGCTGATTGAAGTGATTTTTTCTGGCCAGTGAATCCCTATTTTTCATTTTCCATTTTTTTCTTCTTTTTTTCTTTACACACACACACACACACACACACGTGCGCGCGCACCATGATACCAGAGAAGTACGTCAATTTGAAAATGCACCGGATGTACACCCACAGATCTTCTCTTGTAGCAACGATACATGTAGCGGACAAGATCCCCGGGGCTTGTAACATTATACTCTTGATGGTATAGATAGTATGCTGATTTGATAGAAGCAGACACAAGATGTACTGGTGCCTCGAAGTGAAATTGGAGTTACTTTACCAACCAGCCTGCTCAACCGAGTATGGGAAACCCAGACCGAAATAGGCATACCAACAACCTCAGCCATGAAAGCTACAGTAGATTATGAACAGTCAGACCTGCACAAGGTAGCACCAGACTGACAAGGAGTACTGAGACATTCCACAGCAAGGTAGTGAGCTTGAGCACTGCTCGATAGCGCTAACCAACGGCCTTCCAACTGGGAAGGTTTATAGATAATACCATATTAGATAATTCCAAAGAGGGGAAGGTAAGCGCAGCCATCAAGCCGAACACAAGCCGTCCCATCATCGTACCAAGCCAACATTCCACTGACAGTGTGTGCCTTGGAATGTAGCTTGTGTTCGGCTTGATGGCGCTTACCTTCCCCTCTTTGGAATTATCACTAATATCCATGAACCTTCCACCGGAATATGCCAGCAATGCTTATGCACACAGTCTACGACAACATGAATATGATTCTCTCACCCGCATCTCTCGCCGTTCATTACGTACTGTATTTAGCTACCCGCCAATCGCAGATGTTCAGTGTATTCTGTCTTGAAACACTTGTGACCAAGGCTAGCGAAGTGCACTCGAAAAGCGAGCCATACATGATGTCTGGCATGATCACAGCAAGGAGAAACGTAATTCGGCTTCCAAGTGTGAGTGCACGTCGAGCGCGCCACAGAGCGCCGGTATTGCACGCAACTAATAATTCCTTTGCTATGGCGTTTATCTGGGAGTCCCATGACAAAGATTTGTTAGCACAACACTCTTCTTTAAGGACTAGCCCTCGACCCTTGAGACAGTCTGCCAGTGCAGAGACAGAAGAGGAGAGTGTATCCGAGATGACTGCCCAGACAGTGGAGCTGTAATACACTCCAATATCATCGGCAAACTGGATCGTTGGACACGGGTTGGCAACAGACAAATTTTCTCTGGTGTATAGACTGAACAGTAATGGCCCTGCCACAGAGCTCTGGGGACACCACATGTGCATACCACT